GTGGCTCCCTATCCCCCTCACTGTTCCAAACTTAGCCCCTCTGCTTTTTCTCAGTTTTCCAGGGCTAAATCCAAAGATCAAAACCCCACAATACTAATCTCTCTCTCTGTGTGTCTCTGTCTCTGTCTGTCTGTCTGTCTGTCTGTCTGTCTGTCTGTCTGTCTGTCTCATCCATCCATCCATCCATCCATCCATCCATCCATCCATCCATCCATCCATCTATCTATCTATCTATCTATCATCTATCTATCTATCTATCTATCTATCTATCTATCTATCTATCTATCATAAGGTAAAGGTACATTTCTCCTTAGTTCTAAGTTGCTTCTCTCCTTGATTAGTTTCCACCCATTGCTTCTTGTCCTGCCCTCAGGTGCTTTGGAGAATAGCTTGACTCCCTCTTCTTTGGGGCAGCCCCTGAGATATTGGAAGACTGCTATCATGTCTCCCCTAGTCCTTCTTTTCATAAGACTAGACATACCCAGTTCCTGCAACTGTTCTTCATATGTTTTAACCTCCAGTCCCCTAAAATCCTCTTTGTTGATCTTCTCTGCACTCTTTCTAGATGATGTTACTGAGTTTGGGTAGTGAACTGTCTGCAAGAAAGCAAGCAAGCTCAGAGATTACCAAGGACCCCTCGGCTCCCAGCATCCTTCACTGTGGCCCTTGTTTCTTGAGGCTGCTGGGAACTGTAGTTCTGCCTCATCAGGAAAGCCACCAGCTTTTGCCTCTGCCACCAAAGCCCACTCATGACCGGCCTGTGCAGTTTTCCCAGCAAAGATGTAACCACATCACCACGAATCCCGTGTGCACACGAAGATCTGCTGCACAGCCTTCGGTCGGGTTTCCATAACGCAGGAGAAATTAAAAGCTCTCCTTGTGTACGGTGGTAATTAAATTCCTAATCAGTGACAGCCCATTGAGGAAGAAATGGATGGCTTTTTAATGCCCCAGTTTAAGGAGGAACAGACATCGGTCGTGGCAAGAGCGATAGGACCACAGTCACGTAGGTCGAGCGGAGGCTGGGCACCAGCTGCCTTTGCAATGAATTGCAATTACCACGGTCTGTTTTTAAACAGGGCTCAACTGCATGGCTTCCTTTGATTGCTGGCAGCAGACATCCTCAGAAAACAAACCCAGGCGACTCCCAAAATTCGTCCTTCTTGAGCCCCTTGGGTCATTCATAGAGTTCTTCTCCAACCCAAACCTCTGAAGATGTGTGTTTTTTTTTTTTAATTTGATTTATATGCCACCCTTCTCCGGAGACTCAGGGCGGCTTACAATGTGCTCAGCAATAGCCTTCATCCTTTTGTATATTTATACAAAGTCAGCTTATTGCCCCCACAACTGGGTCCTCAATTTACCTACCTTAGAAAGGATGGAAGGCTGAGTCAACCTTGAGCCTTGGCGAGATTTGAACCTGCAGTAATTGCAGGCAGCTGGTCTTAATAACCACCTTAATAACAGGGTGCCTTAGACCACTGTACTACCAAGGCTCCCTTTGCCTGTGTCTTTAGCCACGTTGACTGGGCCTCTTACCAGCTGCCATCCCATGGCTAGCAGATGCCATTTCAAAACCAGCCTTTAGGTATTTGATACGTGTATCAATATATATCAATATATATCTATATATCTATATATCTATATCTATATCTATTTGTTTTCTGAGGTTTTCGCAGGTGTTTGTATGTAGGTCTTTGGTTATTCGGGTTTATATATATATAAACCAAATATATATATATATATATATTTGAACTATAGCCAATCTCCATTCCAGGTGCCTGGGAGACATAGTGAAAAGACGAGCTGCTGCGATCTCCTACCAGTAGTCCTTGGATTACAACCGCAACTGAGCCCAACATTTCTTTGCTAAGGGAGACAGTTGTTAAGTGAGTTTTGCCCCCATTTTCTTGACACGGTTGTTAAGTGAATCCCTGCAGCTGTTAAGTTAGCAACACGGTTGTGAATTGAACCTGGCTACCCCGTTGACTTGGCTTGTCAGAAGGTCGCAAAAGGGGGGGTGCGGAAATCACGTGATCCTGGGACACTGCAACCGTCATAAATATGAATCAATTCCCCCATCATAAATATGAATCAGTTGCCCGGTGACTGAATTTTGATGATACTGAGCCTGACTAGGTGGCTCAATAGCCTGACTAGGTGGCTCAGTGGCTAAGACACTGAGCTTGTCGATCAGAAAGGTCGGCAGTTCGGTGGTTCGAATCCCTAGTACAGGTCTCCAGCGTAAGCAGCGGGTTGGACTAGATGACCTCCAAGGTCCCTTCCAACTCTGTTCCTGTTACTGTCACTGACACGGTCAAGGGGATGCCGCAACGGTCTTAAGTGTGTAAAAACAGTCGCAAATCGCCTTTTTCCAGTGCTGTCATAACATCGAACAGTCGCTAAACGGCCGGTCGTAAGTCGAGAACCACCTGCGTTTGCGGGGTTTCTTCGACGCGTCCGTTGTGTCCCTGCATAAGACAGAATGCTGGCTAGCAGGGAGGGATCCAGTGGATCTCTTTTCTCGCCCCACCCCACCCCGCCCCTGCATTCCTGTTCTCTGTTTTTCATTTCTTGGAAGCCAGGAGGAGGAGGAGGGGGAGAAGCGATAGAATAGACGCATATGAGAAGGGGCTATTTCCCATTAAAATGCAGGGTGCGTGGTATGTGCGCGCATGCCAGACAGATCAAAGAACAAGAGCTAGCGGATCACGTGGCTGATCTCTGGGGTGTCTGCTTAAACTCAGCGCTTATTAGAATTACACGGATTAATTTTCGGGATTGAGGCCTTCGGTGCTGCCCCAGGAGTACAGGAGTAGGTGGTATGTTTGCAAAACCAACCGATTCATAGCAGGGGGAGGCTGAATGGGGAGGGGGCATTCCCACCCTACACACACACATACCCCAGGGATGAATTAGAGAGCCTCGCTCGCAGCTATTACGGTATTATGACTGAAAGCTACCCTGCCTCTTTTTCAGGCAGCTGTGAAAAATTGTGCTGGTCTTTTGTAGTCTTTAAAAAAAGAAAAAGGGAGAGCTGGAGAACGACAGCTATTTTAACGTAGGAAAGGAGGCGATTCCAAAAAAGAAAAGAAAAAAAACCCTCTCTCTTTATTTTAACATTAATCCCTCCTCCCTTGTGTCCGGCGAAAACGGGTCTAGAGCTCTTACCTACAGTCAAAACGGTTGTTCCGGCCAAAGGTTATAAGCACAAGAGGAAAAGGGGAGGAGAAGGCAGAGGAGGGGAAGAAGAGCCCCCAACCCTGTGGGCAAGGCAGAGCGCTAACCTTGGTCGTCCCAGCTTCTGGCACTTCCGTTCAGTCTCAGTCCCGTTCAGAAGATAGAATAGAATAGAATAACAGAGTTGGAAGGGACCTTGGAGGTCTTCTAGTCCAGCCCCCTGCTTAGGCAGGAAACCCTACACCACTTCAGACAAACGATTATCCAACCTCTTCTTAAAAACTTCCAGTGTTGGAGCATTCACAACTTCTGGAGGCAAGTTGTTCCACTGATGAATTGTTCTCCCTGTCAGGAAATTTTTCCTTAGTTCTAGGTTGCTTCTCTCCTTGATTAGTTTCCACCCGTTGCTTCTTGTCCTGCCTTCAGGTGCTTTGGAGAATAGCTTGACTGCCTCTTCTTTGGGGCAGCCCCTGAGATATTGGAAGACTGCTATCATGTCTCCCCTGGTCTTTCTTTTCATTAAACAAGACATACCCAGTTCCTGCAATCGTTCTTCATATGTTTTAGTCTCCAGTCCCCTAATCATCTTGGTTGCTCTTCTCTGCACTCTTTCTAGAATCTCCGCATCTTTTTTACATCGTGGCGACCAAAACTGGATGCAGGATTCCAAGTGTGGCCTTACCAAGGCCTTATTCTTTTCCCTGGGAAGCCGTCCCGTTAATGGCTTTTGTCACAGAGGCTGAGCCCTCAAAATCCAGGCTCAGAAAAGCTAATAGCTCGATTGTTATTTAACTGGTGGAGTTTGTTAAGCTGGCTCTTGATCTTGGGTGGGGATTTAACGTGAGGCTTAAAACATGAAGAAGGGATGGAGAAAATCTGAGGGGAAAAAGGCCATTCCGGAGTAAATGGTCAAGGTCACATTTTCAGTTCTTTTATTTATTTCTATCCTGCCTTTATTCTTTTTTTTACAAATAACACAAGGCAATGAATATGTCTAATGCACCTTCCTACTCTTATTTTCTAACAACAGCCCTGTCAGGTAGGTTGGCCTGAGAGACAGTGACTGACTGGCCCAAAGTCACCCAGTTGGCTTTCATGCCTAAGACGGGACTAGAACTCGCCGTCTCCTGGTGATTGGCCCAAACTCACCCAGCTGGCTTTCGTGCATAAGGCGGGACTAGAACTCACCGTCTCCTGGTGATTGGCCTAAACTCACCCAGCTGGCTTTCGTGCGTAAGGTGGGACTAGAACTCACCACTAGATCAAATCGCGTGGCACAGTTGATTGTTGGAAATACCAGTTCTGACGAACTGGTAGCTTTTTAAGTACCGGTTTGCCCGAACTGGTAGCTTTTTTTTTTTAACTACTGATTCACCCGAACTGGTAGTTTTTATCACTACTGGTTTGCCCGAACCGGGGCGAACCGGTAGCATTTCACCCTTCAGACATACCCAATTCCTGCAACTGTTCTTCGTATGTTTTAGCCTCCGGGCTCTTAATCATCTTAGTTGCTCTTCTCTGCATTCTTTCCAGAATCTCATTTTTTTTATAACATCTGTGTTATCAGATGCACTTAAAAAAAAAAACATACATATATTACATTCTTGCAGTATACAATCCTATGTTTCCATTGCCCAATGTTCTCCTTGTTCGAAAGTGCTTTTTTAATTTTTAATTATTTGTTTTTGTTTTGCTTTGTTTACCAAGTTGGGCATTTAAAATGATTGCTTCCATAAGAAACGGCTGCCAGTCGAAAATACCACTGCCTCCCTTTCTACCTCTCGCTGAGAGCATCCCTAATGGAAGTGGTTGTTTAGCCCCCAACAAAAGTGACAATTTTACAGGGAAAAAAAAAAAGATTATGCCTCCGGGTTGCTCATTTTATTCAATTGTGCACCATGAAAAGGTTTTCTTTTCAAAGCAGCCTTGTTAAAAAAAAAAAAAAAAAAGACAACAGGAAGGGTGTCATCATTCCATGCAACTTCCCCTTTATGAAGCTAAACCAGTAGAGGAAAAAGAAAAGAAACATTTTTTTTTCTCATGCTTAGATTTCTTCTTTTTAATGAGATTTTTCAGGGCAAAGGAACCAAGGGTGCTTTATTTGAAGAAGAAAAAGAAAAAAGCACGCGGTAATGTTAAGAAACCATCTCATGCTGGCATGTGTGTGTGCATGTGTGTGTTTCTACTGTAGATGGGGGAACAATTGGAGATGAATCGTGCTATGTGACACATGCCTATACCTAAACAGCTGCATACACACAAGCATACATCCTGGCATGATCACAGGTGCTTGTAGAAGCCAAATGGGAGGCTTCTCAAAATCCTCTAATTAACTGGGATCAATAGCCGACTTTCTGTATCTCTCCAACGCTTAGTAACCTCCCATGCCTTGGGAGACATGGGAGGCTCCATTATTGGAGAATTTGTCAGAATATTCATGAACTGGGATAGACATGGCAACAGGTCAGCCATTGGGGACTGGCTGTAATGGGAAGACATGGTAACAAGGTCAGTCAATGAATAGGCATAGCAACTGGGTCAGCCAATGAGGACTGTTTTAGAAACAGAAACTTAAGCAAGAAGGCTGGGCGTGGCTCAGATCTGAGTCTGTGCAGAAGCTAAACCAGTCTGGATTTGTCTGTCTGCAGAATTGAAACTGAAACTAGTCTGCCCTACTCTGTGTTTTGCTTGTAACCGTTACCACGTTGGAAGAAATCGGCTGTTGGTGTTGTAAATTTACTTCATATGTTATTATGTATATAAAGAAGTTAATGAATCCTGCTGCATCAGTCTGCCTGTGCGTGCTTTCTGGATTTGATTTTTTCCAACAAACTCTGACAGAATTTTACAGAGCTGAGAGTTTCTGCCTTGGGATTGGTTGGCTGGTTTTCCAACTCTCTGTTTTTACAGTGCTATACCTATAGAAGTCAGAGTTATCGGAACAAATAATGTCCCTTCCTGTTCAAATGGACATCATTCTTTCTAGAAAGGTGCTCTTATATTACTTAATTTCTTAGATACTGAATTTCTTAATTGCCATAAAACAGGGGTCCCCAACCCCCAGTCTGCAGATTGGCACTGGTCCACGGCATGCCAGAAGCCCTGCCAGGCAAACAAGCAAAGCCCCATCCGTGGCTCCCTCCGGTCCGTGAAAAAGCCTTTCTCCACAGAACCGGTGCCCAAAAGGTTAGAAGCCGCTGCCCTAAAACAAAATCATAAAATTGAGCATGACTCACTTAACCAACTTGCTTAGCGATGGGAATTCTGCTCCTAATTGTGGTCATAAGTCAAGGACTATCCGCACTATTCCTAAAAGTTGCAGATGGCAGATCTGGGCTGGTAATAAATAACTTGATTGGAAGCATGCACTAAAGTGATACACCGAGCAATCACTGTTCCCCTCAAGGTTACACCATATGAGGTAGTGCATGTCATCCCAAATATTAGTTTTCATGTTTTCTAAGGCAGACGTTAACAGTCCAAAATAATTCTTCAGGGACAAGAGACAAGGGACACGGCACATATGTTCTCTGCATTTTTACAAATATTCAATAACTTTGGGGTTTGTACTTTCTTCAGCTCATCCCACACCGTGTGATCTTTGCCAACACTTCTTACGATAGTTGGAAGTCTTTAATCCAATTAACAGAATCTCAGTCAATGGAAAACTAAAAGGACCCTAAAAGCCATTTCCATAAACCGAATTTTTGTTGGCGCTCCTGTGTTTATGAAGGTGAATAGTTAAATATTTGAATTCACGCACGCACACGGACACACATTGTATTCCATTGTGTATACATTCTTGGCCTTTCCCAATGTATGCAGACTACCTCTAACTCATCCTTGAAAACTTTGACTAGCTCTCAAAAACTTCATGGAGTCCATCACCAATGACATGGGTGCCTTAAAAGGAAGAAAATGCCCAACAGGACTAGAGATTGATAGCTTGTTTTAAAAAGCCAAGCAAAACAAAAATGTGTATCAAATACCAAATGCGATTGTTCTTTTTCTCTGCTCAGGAAAATTCCTTTTGTTTTTAAATCTTATTTTGGACATTGCTCAGAATGTAAATAGGTAAGACTGAAGAGTTTTCACGTTGTATAACATGCTAGTGTTAAGAAAGGGATTCCTTCTAGGCATTAACCCTTCTTCCGTTGCAACAATCCGTTTATGCACCATACAAATATTCTGAGGATGGCTCTCGTGTTTACTCAGTGTTCAAACCGTCCACTCTAGAGGTTTTCCTCTAAAAAAAAGAAACCAAGCAAAGGAGAAAGTGATCTCCATCCTTCTAAGTATGGATAGTTCTTCCAATGAAACCTCCAAAAATTAGCCTATGCACCATACAAATATTCTAAATATGGCTAACTTCCTTTATGTAGTGTCCAAGCATCCAAGTAATAAGATTTCATGCCACGATGAAAATAACCCAACCGAAACTGGAAAAGGGAGCAAGCAACAACTTCGAATCTGTCAAAGTTTCCATCAGGGTCTTATGAAATATATAAAGATTCAGATTTCTACATCTTCTGAAGCGTTTGGTTAGGGTGATCGAGCAAGGTTTAATTGAAAGTTGCACCGTATGCTTTTCACCCAAGTCTTACGCAAGACAACAGCCATCTCTCAAGGCCCGTAGATCTTTCGATCCAAGACTATTGATTAAAGCCTTGCAAGAGATGAAGCCGTGAAGCTTTCTGCCTCTCCTTTGTTCTCCTGGAGGTGTCCAAAGACGCCTATCAACGATTGTAGCCCGTTTATCTTCTGATGCTCGGAGAGGAACAAAATCCAATGGCTGCTATTTGCAAGCGATTATCATCCCCGGCTCTTCCATGTCATCGTTGGAACAGCTTAAAAAGAAGTGGATTATCCATCATGGATCTTTCATGGAGAGATCTTCATAGGCTTCCCGTTTTTATCATATTGGTAGACAAGCATTTTGATGCAGTGGGAGTTGGCTGGGGATATCCATGGGCTGCTAGTTATTGAAAAGTTATGGTTTGTATAGAACTGGATGGGTTGCTTCTGACACCGGAAGAAGGCCTTCAGCGTTACGGCCGCCATTGTGCGGAACCGCTTGCTGATGAAACAGTACAGGAAGAAGTTGATGGCGGTGTTGAGCAATGCCAGCATGTTGGCCACGTCGGAGACGATGTGGATGGACCAGCTGTTGTTGATGGGAGAGACGTAAAGGTGGTAAAGGATCATGATAATCCTCGGGGCCCAGAGGACGGCGAAAATGGAGGTGATGGTAAACAAGATGGCGGTGGTTTTCCCGGTGGAATAGCCTCGCAGCCGGAAGTTGCACTTCTGCCGAAGCTTGTAGACGATGATGGAGTTCAAGATGAAGAAGATGGAGCAAGGGACCAGATAGATGGTGAAGCAGTGGATCCAGATGAGGATGTGGTGAACAAGCGTACTTGTGTAGTCTTCCTTCCAGATGTTCGGCCACCAGTAGTATGGGATGCTGGTTAGGAAGCAAATAATATAAACACTCACAATGACTTTGCGGGTGCGAGCGGGATAGGAAACCATGTGGTATTTGAGGGGATGACAGACGGCGATGTACCGGTCAATCGTGAGAGGGACAGTAATCCAGATGGAAGTATGGATGGAGGAGAACTCTAACACCTCGATAATTTTGTCCAGGACTTCAGGCATCTTCTCCTTCAAGATGAAATCTTCCAACAAGAAGTCAACAAAGACGATAAAGAAAAGGACTAGCAAGTCAGCCACCGCGAGAGCTAAAAGGTAGTTATAGGAGGACTTTTGACGCCGAGCCACCAGCTGCGACAGAATGATTACCGTCAAAATGTTAGCTGTAATGGGGGAGAGAGAGAGAGAGAGAGAGGGAAAAAATTACATTAACTTTAGAAGATTAGCAATTACTATTAGGTCCCAATAATCAAATGTGACACATGGAGTTACTTAAAGCATATTCTAAAAGAGAATTAGAATACAATTAATGCACCTATTTGGGTTTCTGAGAATAGTAATGAACAAGTAATCAACAGCAGCTGAACAATGAGGATTAACATCGGAAAAATAACCCAAGAATCAACACCCCAATGACTGCAAGGGATATAAATCCTTCCATTCCCCACCATTTTGTGGGAACTGAAGATGCTTCTTGGGTGAGAAGTGAAATGTCTTCACGAGAAAAAAAAAACAGAAAGTCCGGTTGCCTCTTGAAAAAACACTTTTGGGACAACCATGACCTGGATGACGGAGAATGTCCATCGACATCTCCTTTGAAAATGTTTTGCTTCTCATCCAATTCTGAAGAAGCTTCTTGGATAAGAAACAAAACATCCTCAAGAAATAACAAGAAAGTCCAGTTGCCTCTTGAAAAAACACCTTTGGGACAACCATGACCTGGATGAGTGAGAACTTCCACAGACACACATCTTAAGGTTGAGAAACTGTAGTCTTGACAACAGTAGACAAGGAGATGCCTCTTAAATGCAGGACAATCTTCTTTAGAATATGGGTCAACATTGATTGTCTTTAAGTGGACCCTGATTTAATTCCACTCTGGCTGCAAGACATTCTGGCTGGACGTCATACAGACATTTCCCAACAGTTGCTCAACCACCAACCTATTTAATTAATTCACAAAGTACAGAGGTTTGGTTTACCGAGGGAGGGTGAGTTGCCAAGTATTGAAATTTCATATGCATTCAGTAATTACTCTTTTTTTGTGTGTGTGTGGAGCTAATGCATCACATTTAACGTTCGACTTCTGAGCATGCTGATTTCTTTTCCAAGGCCAATCAAGAATAATGACACAAATTCCTGTAGCTAAGAACTGAGGAGAAAGGTGGGACCCCAAAGACAGGACGAAAACGATTCTCTTGGATGCATGCTGCACATCTGAATACAAGTGCATATTATTTGGCCACTCAACTGCCAAATATTTATGAACAATCTCTTAGGGCATCTTGCTGAAACATGGTTTTCCGGAGGGGGGGTGAGAGAGGGAAATCTTGAACAGTGACGGATGGGGGTGGGGAAGATGCTGCTGGCATTTTTGCTTTGCCACTTTTTTTTTTTTTTTTTTAAAGAGAATTGCATCTTCAAGCACTCAAGTTAATTCCTGCTTTGCTAAGTGCTGAAGAAAATGCTGAAAAGGATTGCTACTCAGCCACCTGTCTTTTGAGATGGGAAGTGGGGGGTGGGGGGCTTCATTCCCAATGCTTTCCCATGTTCAAAGCTGACTATGGAGCATTGCCGGGTGAAGCTTTAGAGTGGTGATGTCTCAGGAGGGGGATAAGGTCCCTGAGAAGATTGCATGGTTGCCAAGATTATAATTCGTTGTTAGATGAGAAGGTCTCCTTTGAGTCAAGTGGAGATCCCTGGGTTGTGGCCTGCCAGCGGCCAGCAGAGCTGGCAGCAGATTCGGACAGTGAGGAGGTTGGGGAGGAACATGGGCCAGTCCTGGAGTCTGGGGAAGGCTCTGATGAGGGCTCTGCGTCAGAGGCAGAGAGGGGGCCAGGGCCGTCTGACAGTTATTAACTGCCTTCGGAGTCAGACATCAGTGAGGCAGAGGAACAGCCTGAGCCTGTTCCCAGTGTGCGCATGCACAGAGTTGCTAGACAAAGGGAACAGCTAAAGAACAAGGGTCGATTTGGGAGTAAGGCCACAGGTGGACAGTGAATGGCCCCTCCCAGAGGAAATAAAAGAGGAGTGAAAGGGGAGGAGAGTTTGCAGGAGACAATTAGTTCACTTAATTGGTTCGTGACTCTCTGAGACTCCTTGCCACGTTTTGAAGACATTGGCCTGGCAGCTCTCCAAGCCAGATAAGGTCTTTGATTGTAAATTCTCCCTTGAAAGACTTTGCTGAAGGTGAATGAGAAGAATTCACAATAACTTAATAAAAAGGGGGTTTTGTCGAGACAAGGAGTCTGCTTCATACTCTTGGGAACCCTAGGTCAGAACACACTGAGACTATGTGAAGTGATCCATAAAGTTCTCTCAAAAATAACATGGAGATGCTTTTATCATTGTCTTCTGCCTGGGAAGTAAGTTGGACCTCCAAGTCTAGCTTTCAGTGACTCCTCTGCGTCAAGCTTAAGTCCTTGAGTCCTTGATCCATAAAGTTCTCTCAACAATAATATGGAGTTGACTTACATTGTCTTCTGCTGGGAAGTAGGTTGGAGTCTAGCTTAAGTCCTTGAGACTACATGATCCATAAAGTTCTCTCAACAATAATGTGGAAGTGACCTAACCTTGTCTTCCAATGGGAAGTAGGTTGGATCTTAGTCAAGCTTCAGTTCTTGAGTCTACATGAACAGACCCATAATGGTTTTTCAATAATAATATGGAAGTGGCTTATCAGTGTCGTCTTCTGGGAAGTAGGTTGGATCTCCAAATCTAGCTTTCAACTCTCTGAGAGTTGAAAGACATTTATACATGTCTTCCATCCAGCTGCTAAAGTGATCTGATCCTATTTTTTTTTTTTTTTTTTTAAATTTGATTTATATGCCGCCCTTCTCCGAAGACTCAGGGCGGCTTACAATGTGCTCAGCAATAGCCTTTAACTTGTTTTGACAGCTACTATCCATTTTGTTAGCGCAACTACCGTGTTTCCCCGAAAATAAGACCCTGTCTTATATTTTTTTGAACCCTGAAATAAGCGCTTGGCCTTATTGCCATGCGCTCAAAAGCCCGATTGGGCTTATTATCAGGGGATGTCTTATTTTGGGGGAAACAGGGTACTACAAGGACAATTCATAATACCCAGATGCAAATCTATATATAGATTGTTTTTGTCCAAAGTTCGGATTCTGTACGAACATTTTGAGATAAATGAGCCCTTGGCCTATCAATATAATTTATCATTACTCAAAAGGTCATTGCTTTTTTTTTTTTTTAATTTGCTTTTTAAACATTAGGTCACCCCAAGCTTCTTTGAAAATTCTGGAGACTCCAAAGCAGTGGTTCTCAATCTTGGCAACTCTTAAGATGCGTGGATTGCAACTCCCAGAATTCCCCAGCTTAAGAGTTGCCAGCTGGGGAATTCTGGGAGTTGCAGTCCACGCATCTTAAGAGTTGCTAAAGTTGAGAAACAATACTCCAGAGCTACCAAAAGTGAGCTTGCAGACATCTGGATAATCATTAGGGGCCAGCAAAGGAGAGGCAGAACGTTCTAAGGATTTGATACCTTCTAATGGTTGCCTGGGCTTTGCAGGCCAAATACAGTCGCCTTTACTCAAGGCAACCCTCCGCCCCGCAACACACACACACACAAAGCAGGCAAGCCAACTATTGTCCCGTCTTGGTCTGATGGGAATTGAAGCTCAGTAAGATGTGGAGAACTGCACGTTTTCTGAAACCCTGAGCTAGCTGCACAAAAAGCTTGTCCCGCTGCCAAGGAGCTTCCTAGCTATTAATGTAGCAAGATCCATAGGCAGCCACGGCTCTCAGTCTTGTTCTCCGAAGAAGTTATCGATTTTTCATGATCCACGATGAAGCTGCAGCTCCGACCAAAACACAGGAAAGACCCAAATTTCAACCCCGAGATTCTAGGAGAGTTGACCCCTGCTTGGAGGCGAATATTGACGTGGCTTTTTGGAAGGGCTGCAGATTTGAACGGGGGGGTTGGCGGTTCTTTCTGTCCGTTCTCTGGTTGCCACGTAGGCCTGATGACACAGGTCGGAAAATAAGGAGATGGGAATCGGCAGGGGGGCTCAGGTGGAGCCACCGCTACCCCACTCCCCCAAATATCCTAAATGAACGTCGTGCCCTGTATGGAAGGATTAAAAAGCAGTCAATACATTATAGGTTAGTCCTGCGTGTATGACCACCATGGACCACCAACATTTCCGCCGCTGAGCGAGACAGTTGTTAAGTGCATTTTGCCCCATTCGCGACCTTCCTAGCCAGAGTTGTTAAGTGAATTCACACTGCACTTGTTAAGTTAGTAACACCGTTGTTAAGTGAATCTGACTTTGCTTGTCAGAAGGTCGCAAATGACCCCAGGACTCTGCAATCTTCTGTCAGGGTTTCAAGTAACACCCCCCCAACAAAAGAAGACTCCGGGGCCTGAAGTTCCTCAAACTTCCATTTTATTAGAGATGTCATATTGGCACATCTGGGAAAACCCGAATCTGAAAGCTCCCAGGTTTTCCCCACCCAAAGGAAAGTCCAAGTCCTTGCCCAGCACCCACAGGTCCATCACATGGTCCAGTCAATGCACCGTCCCAACTTGAGATGCCTCCCAGTTCCAGCCCTCCAGATGCAGGGCAAGATGTCCTTGACTCTCTGAGAAAGGAATGTTATTATGACTACATATCACCCCTGCTCCATACAATCCCGCCTCCCAGTTTCCCACAGTAGTAAATGTGGCAGGCCTGGAGGCCCAATGCAAAAGATGGCTTCCAGGCCTGACACCGTCATAAAGTCAAGTCAGTTGCCAAGGGTCTGGATTTTGATCGTGGGACTGCGGGATGTTGCAAGGGTCGTAAGAGTGAAAAGCGGTCATAAGCCACTTTTTTCCCCCAGTACCGTTGTAACTTCAGACAGTCACTAAATGAACTGTTGTAAGTCGAGGACCGCCTATATTGCCTGGATGTGTTTGCATGTGTGGAAATCTTGCCCTTGGCTCAACGTCAAACCCCTCCCCTTGTACAGATAGCCCTCCACTTAAGCCCCCTTCATTTAGTGACCATTCAAAGTTACATCAAACTCAATAGCCCATCACCATTACTTTTCCTGGCATGATTGCAGAAATAGATTTCCACCGTCAACTTCTAGGATTTTTTTGTTTTTACCACCAGCCTTGGCAGCCACTTAAGATTCCCCAGAGCCCACCCCTCCC